GCTGCATATCACAGCTCCAGCTGGCGTTTTAATTTGTGCTAGTTTGTCCTCGTTAAGACCGGCATTACACTGCAACACTGGATGCCTGACACCTGACACTTGCGGCCAGCAGATCAGCAGTAGCTACATGCGTTGCCAGCGGTGATGACGCATGTGTCACAACTCAGGTGTCAGAGCAGTTATGCATGTTTCAGCCAGTGTCATACTCACTCGCACCTTGCATCCTTCCATCACTGGATCTGTTCACTGTCAATTTGCCCAACTTCAGTCAACAAAAGTAGTTTACTTCATGCTAACAGGGTCATGGTCTGTAATGATGTTTGTTCTTTATCTTTATGGTTCAGGGATTAGAGTATCCTGTAGATTGAACAAGGAAAACATCAGCATGATACATGTTAAAGAATTGGTACTCCATTAGTTGCTGTTTGCAAGAGGCTGATATGAAAAATGACCTGCTTGGACATATGACTGATTGTGAACTACACTCAGGGCAGTATTTGAAAATGGAAGCTTTCGATTGCCCATAATGTCATCTTCGTCCTACCAACAGCCTGGTCAGGCTATGGGTCTGTTGGTCTGGAAGGCTTTTGCAGTGCACTTAATCTCATACATTTGCTTTAGAGGAATTCCCTGCTTGTTTTATCTGTTTTCTGTTTCCTTCTATAAGAAATGTAATGGGCCATCATGGATAGGTTGTGTCAGCTGTGTAACTGTGCAAAATGGCCAGTTTTACGCAAAATGATCTTGACCTTCTCTTGACTTTGTGGTAGCGGCTTCTTGGCCAAAGTGCTTGGGAAATGTTACCAGTTTTATATATTTAATTCGACTCTTTCCATACAGTTTGAGATATTCTGAGGCAAATATGACTTGTCTAATTAATCATGTAATTGTGCTTAAAGAATTACTAATGGTTCTGCTTTATCTGCATGTCTGTGTGCATGTATATTAGATGGTATCCAGAGTTTCCTACTTCAGGTGACTGTTTTCTTTGTTTGGCCGTCGGCAGGGACAGATCACTGCCATGCACATCTTTCCTTCTGAGATTTTGATTAGCTCTGTTTGCATTTGAGAATAGTGATTCACACCGATATGTGGCAAAGATACCGATGAAGGGACTTGATTATTTTCGTGACTCCAATCCTGTTTCTCTGCTCTGTTGGCAGGATCAACACAGATAGACAACTACTCTCAAACTCCGCAGGGAGAACATAATCCCCTTAGGAGGAAGCAAGGGAGGCCATCTTAGAATCCAGAATCGGGCATCATCTTCTTATCCAGAAAGTAAATCACACATGAAAGTCAGCACAAAGAGAAAATATGAAAAAAATATATATTGGGAAAACGGCTGTAAAAAACCCCAGAAATGGTTGTAAGCATCAGAAAAAGAGGTAAGAGCAGTGGGGAGAGACATCTGTCGTAGATTTCATTTTGTGGTCCTCATGCCCAGACCTGTCACCTGTGCTCCACCCAGGCCTTCCAATCATGTCGCTGTCCATCAGCATGCAAGTCAGCTCCTGGCTCGGGCCAGTCATGCAAGAACGGCATGTTGATGTCCATATCTTTCACTGTGGTCCCTGTGCCTACAACTGCAGTCTGACAATGTCACTCTGACATACCAACAATAATAAAACCCAGTAGCCTTCTCACGTTTGTGCATGACTGTCAGCACAGCGGAGTGTGGTGACCATGTGAAGCTTGATCCTGTGACATTTACGCACTTTAGCCGCCTTCGTTAGAATGCAGTGCAGCTGCTTAGGTGTCAGCGAACCAGGCTGCGATCCCCTGCCTGCATAGTGGGCAAGCCACCCCCACCTTCACTTACTGTATGTCTTATCGGCTCGACTTCTTGTTCCTGCTTGTATCACAGAGGTGGGAAAGACCTGCCTGGAATCTAGACGAGCTCACAGTAATTGGCAGAGCCGGCTATATAAAAACACTTCATCCACCACTCATAAATCAAACATTTGTGTCTGATGCTTTTTTCTTCATTATGCCCTTTATCATTCCTTGTCTGGAGTAACCTCTGCTGGTAATAACTGCCCTCCTCCTCCAAGGAACAGCACACGGCTTGTTCCTTTTCCATGGAACAGATGCTGGGACTGTTATCCAGCTCCTAATTAGGGGGTCAAGTTTTCATTCAGCTGTGAATTGGTTTCCTGGTGAAAGCTGTTGTCTGTTGATGTGAGACAGGCTCTGTGACTCAGCTGTGGTGTATCCCCACAATCCCCCCCCCCACCGTCGTCTGATGATGTGAGACAGGCTCTGTGACTCAGCTGCGGTGTATCTCTACCATCCCCTCCCCACACGCACACAGAAAGTCCTCTCTCACGTTACTGCAGTTGCCGGTCTTTTCTTACATATGGCCGTATCTCCATAGGAGGTCCTCGGTCCTGCACGTACGAGCTGCATGCACGCGCCTCATCGCCAGCTGCAGTCCCTCTGTGCACAGTTCCCTCCCTCCGCTAAACAGAAGGCCAGGCCCGGCCTTCCCTGGTTGTTAGCGCAATCCTCCGGAGTGCGTGGCTCTACAGAAGCCCTCTGCCCGTCTCACTGTCTCTCACTCAGGGCGTCGTGATGCTGCTCCCCGATTCCCAGCGCTAGTGGAAGACTCGTTACCATTCTGTCTCCGTCTTTCACTGCAGACCCCCGAGTCTGCCTCAGCAACGCAATTCTGCTCAAGCAGCTCATTTCACCTTGGATTTTTTGCTCACTCTGTTTATGCTATTTTGTTTCAAACGCCCATCCATGCTTCCATCTTCATCATAAAACTGCTCTTTGATTTTCTTTGTGGGGAGATAGATCTGCTTAGATTGGGAAGACAGTTTTCTAGCCTAGCATAAAGTTTTTAATTTCCCCTGCCGGATTTAACTTAACATTTTCTTATCGTGTAACCTCGTAGTCAGGGTCTGGTTTTTAGATGCTATCTTGCTCACACACAGAGTCCTCGGCATTGTGCGACCTTCGTCCCTGTCTGTGAGAACAGATGCATTGTAGATACCACAGATGGACGGTGCTCTAAGCCATTAGCTGTGCTCATCAATACTGCAGATGTCACATTAAGGCAGGAAGAGTGGAGCTTGGTCCAGAGCACTAGAAGGAAGGTCGTGAAAAATATTCTGTTGTTTCCTGTTGGGAAATATGTGCAGATCTGCAGGGTATGTCCCTTAATAGAAGAGAACCAAGCCTGTGGCCTGTTCTCCTGGCTCGCAGCCCATCTTTATTGCGTTACCGCTAGCCTAATTTGATACCATAGCTTAATCGTATGAAGGGGTCTGTGAAAATGGAAAGAAGGAGCCACAGTGTGTTGCTTGTGCAATTCGATAAAGCACTGGTGCAACAGCAGCCAAATTAAATTAGTATTTCCATAAAATATCTACTGTTATTGTATCTTAGTCCCACTTGAATTAAGAGCAGTGAATGTGACACACAGATATTTGACATGACTTTAATTCAAGGTGTTGCTTCTTTAGTTTTGGTTTTAGCGCCATCTTGATTGTGTGTTATCATTACCCACAATTACAGTAATAGTACATTTTGAATGTCTTTACAAAGATACAGATCTCAGGCATACAGAGATATACCTCAGTTATACAAGTGCAGTGATATATTTAACACACCTTCCATACACCAGCAATGTTACAATATGTTACTGTGACAGTTTGCTCAAATTCCAGTTTTGGAAACTACGAAACATGTGCAAAAATATCTCATCCTGCCTCCTGTGGATCTCTGCTGACTCGCAGTGTGGAAATCCCAGAAGCTGAACCCTGGAGGCACAGATTTCAGAATGAGATCTTCTCCATCTGCACAAGTGGGTCTCCAGCCTCTACCCAATTAATTGGCTCTGAAAGCCTCAAATGCCACAATGACAGCAGTCTACACAAAGGAGGGGCTGCTGTGGAGCAGTCGTGACTAATCCTCTACATTCTACGACGTCCTTGACCCAGCTCTGGATGTATTTGTCCTTAAGTCCTCCTGTCCCTCTGGTGTCATGCCTGGGTTTTTGTCAATGGAATTGTGTCAGTTACCTCTCCCCCAGCGCTGCTTGCAAGACTCATAATTTCCCTAGATTTGAGCTATGTGCACCTGGAGCACGTATGTCATGAGTCTCTCCTCCCACAACAATAACAGAGTGCCCAGAAGAAATTACATTAATGTGGAGGCAGAGGATGGTACTTTGTGAGGGATGGCTGTTGGGGAAGTAATTGCTGAAGTGTTCTGCTAAGAGGCAGATGGATCTATTGTGGGACATTGTGTTGTTATTTTGGAGATTCCCTGCCATCGAACTTATTACTGAGCTCCTGAAACTCCTCCCCCTGGGAGGTGCAGGGGGCAACTGATTCACAATGAATGTACAGGAGTGACTGGCCAGACCAGTAAAAAGCTCAGTCTCATAGTCGTAAGGTTGGGTTTTGTACTGGGAGAGTCATCATTGTTGCCACTTTTTAAACAATGTCTAAAGTGTATCTGTCCAGTTTCACTTTCTGGAATCTGCCATGGTGTACATGCTGTCCTATACTGTAAATACACCATTTATTGTGAGCAACAGAAACATTTTGTCTTTTAGGTTTTGCTATGTGAGCAGGTTATACTACATGGGAGAAGAGTTTGAGCCGGGTTTCCATTACTCCTGTAGACTGGACAGTAGTGGGGGGAAAAAACATCTTGCCATTGCAGTCTTTGTTCGGTAGTCGTCCATGTCTCCTGGCGACCTGCTCCTTAAACAAGGCACTTTGAGGTTCAGCTCTTTGCTGTCTCACCACCATTACAGCATGGACATCTGTGAACCTTAATCTCATACGTCATGTGTTTGTCCATCGCTGCACAGGGCTGATCTCCAGTCTGTTGTCTGTGAAACATCATGTGATATGCAGCCAAGTGGCAGATTGGGGACAGTACCTCATTGGTGTGCTTGCAAGTGGCTGACGTGTGGTCTGACTCTTTGGGGCGGCACCGGTCAGCAGCTCCCATGACCCTGTGCATTTCTGTCACCTGAACAGCACCTTGCAGGAGCAGAAGGAGGACTTGCGCAAGCGCTTGTCCTACACCACCCACAAGCTGGAGGTGCTGGAGACAGAGTTCGACTCCACCCGGCAGTACCTGGAGACGGAGCTTCGCCGTGCCCAGGAGGAGCTGGAGAAGTTCACTGACAAACTGCGCCGGTAGGCAGGCTTGGGCTCTCGCCATTCCTGTCTAACTGTCCCATGCACATTTTCTGGTCATCCATCTACATTCCTCTGGAAATAGTATGTTACTGCACTCTGATCTAAAAGGCTTGTGGTATGAAAAACAAGGCTTTGAAACCCAGAGTGGGTGGGAGTTGCAGACATGTTTAGGACATTTCTTATTGGACACCCCATTCAGTTACACCAAGCTCTGCTTTGAAAGCCTATGGTAAGTCCCACCTTGGGTTTCAAAGTTGCATGGTCTGTCTGTAGAGAGAGCTCTTTGCAACCTGTGCTCTCCCACGGACAAAGCCCAAGAGCAGACTGACTCCTTTCCTCTTCTGGGTGTGTGTGGGTGTGTGTCTGTGTGTGTATATATATATATATATATATATATATATTCATGATTTTTTTTTTTAATACAGTCACGCATTCAAAACTGCCACAAGAGAGGCAAGTCACTAAATCTAACACTTCTTCCCTGTTCCCTGCCTTGTTAAGATGTAGATGAACAGATTTTATGGAGTCTAGCTTACTAATGTATATTTTAGAATTTCCAGTCAGGTTTTTTTTCTTCTTCTTCTTGTTTCTGGCCATTTTGCTGTCGGCTATGTGACACAAGGTTAGGTTTGTGTTCGGGGAGGGTGACAGTTGAGACAGGTCACTGGCAGAAGAGTCTTCTCCTCCCAGCACGGTGTGCATTTCCTCCTGCTCAGCTTCTGCCCAGAGCATCTTCACATGCAGAGAGTAGAGCGATCAGTCAGATGGATACAAGATGAGTTTCAGGCTCAGGCTGGGCAGGGGGAACTTAAAGCCTGCAAGCAATGTTGTCATTGCACTAAGTGTTCATTGTTAAGCCCTCGTGAGGAACAGAAGATTAATTCATCAGTGTGCTGGTGTCTTTATGATCCTTCTCACAGCCACTTCCTGGCTCAATTTTTAATGCCACACTTGCAATTTCTTTTGAAAATTGCCAGATTTCTCACACTTGTCTCCAGAAACCAGAGGAGGGCCCATCACTGTAACCCCTCTGTTAGCTTGTCCCACTACTGGTCCTCCGTAAACAAACAGATTTATTAATAATAGTGATGGTGGTTCATTTAACTAAATCTTCGAATATCATAAGACAGAAATGCTGTTTTGTACTTCAGTTAGTCTGGAACTTTTAAGATTACCATTTTATAATTTAGCTCAGCTGCTTCCTTCCGGCTGAGTCATGAATACTCATAATGGCTCATTTTAATCAGAAGTCTGTTACAGCTCCTTCTCTCAGAGTGAAGTTAAACGTGTTGTGGTTGTGGGTGCTGCGGAAGACTTATTTGTGGACACTTGGTACACTTTCTTGTGTAAGCGCAATTCCATTTTGTGGCCGGGTCTTTGATCCCATGTGTTCGCACGGCTTTGGATTAATGGCCTCATATGTGTTTTTCTGTCTTCCTCCATTTAGAATACAGAGCAGTTATGCAGCACTGCAGAGAATCAATCAGGACCTGGAGGACAAAATCCACCAGTCGGTAGGTGACCAATAGGATGGGACTGGGACTGGAAATCACTCTGGCTATAGGTCACAGATGTGCAGGCCTGGCAGGGCTGGGCCCACGCGGCGCTCAGAGCAGATTGTGCTGCTGTTGTGCAGGAATGGAAGGGCGGAGGTGTGGCCGTGACTCTGCCCAGCACCGTCCTCTCAGCGGCAGTTTGCATAATGCGAGCTTCTGCTTGTCGGCACAGCTGGGCTTCTGATAAGCGGCAGGGCTTCCTGCTGCCAGCTTCCTGAGGGCTCACACTCTTTTTGTAAACAAGATCCCGAGAAATCTACTCCTGCTTCATTTCCTCATCATAAAAAAAACTGTAAAAACATGTGGTTGGTCTTGTGTGCCGCCCTCCCAGATTGCTGCTTGGAAGGGGCACGAGTCCAGGGAGTCACTCTGCTGATCCCTGCCAAGAACACAAGTCTTGGGCTAGTTTCACTCCTCTTTACTAGCTCAACACAATTTTGTGTTATCTTGCAAATAGTGCAAGATAATACCCTTATGCAGCAAATAATCTAACCTGTCATGTTCTCAGAGTGCAGAGATTGTTGGACCACAGCAAAAGGTTAGAGTTTATGGGACAAAACCAGCAGACTTGTTCAAACTGGAAATGGAGCTCGCATATGACTTTAGTCTTCTAGCACAGCAGAGGAAGCACGGCGTGGTGGCAGCCTTATGCGAGTTGTTTTTTAAACTGCAGAACATAGGATGCTAAATAGTTTTGTCTCCCACATCTGTAGGTTAGGGGTGTTGGTTTCCAAGACTTGAATTTAACAAGATGTAGAGGCATTAAAATATACTTTGGGGAGGGGAGGATGGTCTTTTATTTTACATCTTAGCTTCTTTAGAAGTTAGTGGCACTTCTGCGAAGTAAATGTGAAACCAATCTTCTAAACCATATCTGTCACTGATTCTCAAGGATGCTTGTTCAAAGACTGATCATTTGACATTCTGCAGAATGCAAATGTATCATACTATCCATCATTTTACATTTGATGCAAAAGCATTTTGAGTGTTCCTGAAAAAGCAGGAAGTTGTCAGTACGTACTTTTTAAAATTGATATTGAATCAGTTTTTAAGTGCTGCAAGATTGCTCCTTTACAAATCTGCTTTTATTGAATATATCATGAACATAAAGTATTGCATTACTCTCTTGTAAGCAGTCTTCAGCTTAAAAAGTCAGTAAACAGTCAATGTTATCTGGTATACAAATTTTCTGATGTCGTTATTGTTCGGTGTACAGACTCCTTGTAACTTTCTTTCTAGCTTTGATGTTACTCTTTATTTTTATTTATTTTTATGTATTTATATATCAGTTATTGAACTTGTTAGCTGAATGTTGCTGTCTTCACGCCCCTTCCATGATCATCTGCCGATGGCCCAGTCAGATCTATAAAAAGCTTCCTTCACGTATTAGGTCCTCTTCAGTGTCCATGTGACGTCGCGTGAACAGTATTGTATTTGCATTACATAAACCCAGAAGCAATCTTGATATTTGCGAATTCATGCAGCCCTGGGCCAAGGGCAACTGTGACATTTACACCACGACCCATTTCCTAGGCCACTAGACAAGTGGGAACACAATCAAATATTAATGTTTTCTGGTGAGTGAGGGGCAGTAGAGAAGCAGCGCTGACCTGGTCTGTGGACCTGGACCAAGCACCAGCACTATGGAGGACATGCATCTTGGGCTGTTTGGGCAGAGCAAAGACTTGCAGAACTAAGCAAATGACAGTGGGTGGGGGGACGGGGCAGGGGGGGGTAGTTAGGGGTCTGTGGAGGAGGACAGTATAGCTGAGACAAATGGCGTGGCATTCCCTTGGGCAATAACAGCCGGTAACGCTCCCAGTGGAAAGTTTCTTCAAGCAGGTCTGTGACTGACAAGTGGCCATATGGCTAATCGGTGGGTGGGTAGGTGCCGCGGTGCATCTTCCTGGAAACAGTCTGAAGGTTCACAGTTCATTCTTTCAGTGATAGGTACAGTAGGAGGGGGTTTAAAAAAACATGGTTTAGGTGAATTCAGTGAATAAGTATATAAAAGTTTGCAAGGAACTGTTTTATTGATGTGTACTTTCTTCAAGCTTGTTCTGGACAGGGTAAAAAATTTTACTTAAATGGCTTTTCTTAGTATTTGTTCAAGAAGTTGATGGCCTAAGCACTAGGGTTGAGGTGCAGCTGTGTTTTGCTACTAATAAGACAAATAATGTTTTTTTTAATTGCTTAACTCGTCTGCAATTTAGCGTGTCTTGTTCATTTGTTCTGCAGATCTTCACCAGATGTCAAGCACTGTTGCAGAACAGGCCATTTCAGAATAACAGAAAGTGGTTTTCATATTTGAACAAACATGCATTTTTTTTCATCAACTGTAGATATGTCTTTGGAGGCTTAAGGAGATCAAGTTGAATTATGGTTATTGTCCAAGCTCTTTATTGCTGACTATATAAATTATTTTTATGGCACTAGATTGAACACGTAGGCAAGAGTCTGGGAAAAGCTGAACGCTGTATTGATCATACCTCATGTGTCGGCTGAGGCCTGGTCAGCTATATGGCTTATCAGAGCTACCTACACGTTCCCTCCTTCCACTGCAATTACTTGATCAGATGAGACAGGATCAATGCTGCAAGGTATTTGCCTGCCCATGGAACCTTGTTATATTACTGTTATATATATACAGTAGATGAGAGTATATCACTGGTCAGCCATAATATGAGTGCCTGCTCCTTCCAAGATTTCAGCTAAGAAAAGTATGACAACAAATATTTATATTTATATTCTGGTGAATAGTTAATGCCACCTGTTCCTTAAATCCTCCATGGGAGAACTCGCTCTTTATGAAACCTTTATTGTAAGCTTTTGTCAATTAATAAATCAAAGCGAATAGTCAGCTCTGAAACTCCATCTCATTTGATTGTCTGAAAGAGTGGTGACAAGCAGCCCACCGTTCGATCAGCTCATCATCTCAGCCGGACAGGTTTCACCCATACGAGACTTTTAGCAGCACTTAAAATACTCATAGAATAAGGCTGCAATTAAAACTTATGACAGCCCACCATCATATCAGCTAAATGTAGATTGAACATTTGCTGAATAAGAAATGACTGTTGCCACAGGAGCTAAACATCATGTTGCTATAGCTTGTCACTTCAATTTCTCACTTTCCTCTATCATATGTTCACATCACAAAATACCCATGAAAAGAAATTGTACATAATTTTTCTTACTAAGATGCAATTAGCAGTTTCTCTTGGAAGGATTTTGAAAGAAATTTCTCATATTAATGTGACATAATATACTACATTGGATTTCACAGATAATTGTCTAGAAGAAATACAATTGTGAGTGTAATTAGATTTTTCCAGTTCGCTGCTTTATGAAATGCACAGTATGTGCACCGTTGACAAAGCACTTGGTAGCTGTGTGTAAATCATATCATAGTGCTTAATGCAGCACCTATTATACAGGGCTGCTTTTCTTGGCAATGATTTCATTATCAGTAATCAGGCCATACTGAATTTAATGGGTGTAATAATTGCCCCACCCTCTCATTGAGTAGTAGTGGAATTGGTTGAAATGTTAATTGAGATTCTTGATGCAGAGTCTTCACTCCTCCCAGTACTGGATTTTAAATATATGCAGCAAGTGGGTCCATAGCTTTGTCTGTCACAATTAAAACTGATGAATCCCACCTGTCCTTTTCTGATGGGTCATCTTGTCCTGAGCTGGACCCCATCTCAGCTGCCTCTCTGTACGTGATGGTGATAGGGTGACCACCTAATGCATGTCAAGGCGTCACTATGAGCTAGATTTCACTTCAGCACTGAGTTCTGATTGGTCAGTCTCCTGTAATCATGCATGTGTCACTAATGCTAATGTGAAACAGCTGGATGATTCTATCAATGCCGGAAACAAACCAGTAAAACACAAGAAGAGTTGAACTAATTAGCCAAACACAGGAACCTTTCAGTTTTAAAGTAGTTTATAAAACCTGAAGTAGCTCATATTGTCCCTCTTGACATGGATGAGGTGGTCACACCAGATGGGGAAATGGGTATCATCATCAGTTATATAAATAAAGGTAGCGTGTCAGCTTCACAGCTAACTGTAGGGGGCAGTGTCACTGCAGTGTCACTGTCAATGAGGGTGAATCTCAGTGTACAGCCACTGCACTCGGCCTACCACCCATTTAAAAATGTTTTACCTCTGTTATTACAGTCAACTTTGTGGTCAGTCATGCAATCCGCACCTTTAGGTACAGCGGGGATGTTTTCAATCTGGAATCCATGCTAACGAACACATGAGTCTTTTATAGAGGCTGATATTTTAATTCATAAAACAGGAGTGCTGTCTCCGTTAGCCCTCTTTATTTTCTTAATTTCTTGAGCAGAGGTCAATACCATGGCTAATTGTGATGGACATTTTGAACAAAATGTATTTTTTATCGCAGACGCGGTCTTTAAACACATTGCCTGCTTTTTTTTTCCCTGATCAAAACACATTTGTCTGTGTATGGACTGGTTTCTGATCCCTGTTCTTGAGCAGTAATGTTTTTAAGATTACTAGATAAGTAACAAATGAATCAGGAATGATCAGGCAGAATTGTTCCAAGATTGCATTTAAAGTGCATTAGCCCACGTCTTCCCTGCTCATCCAGCTCGTTGAAAATGCAGTTGTACGGAAGTGAGTGCAGGGCTGATCATTCCACTCGTTCACTTAAGGGCTCCTGCAGATGATTCTGCAGATGATGAGCATAGGACACTTCAGGGGAGTGCATGGGTAGCAGAATAGTCCAGTGCAGAGATCGCATATTTCTGACTTTTACTGCTGTCCACGGAGGGAAATCTGAACGCCTAGATATAAATCAAATGTTAGAGTCAAAGGTCCAGTTGTAACACTGAAGTATTTGAAGTTAAAGTAGTAGTAAGGACTCAGAAGTCATAGAGATTGAGCTGAAGGTCCGAGACTGAAGTAACACCTCCCCTGCC